ACAAAAAACTATTACTATCGGGTGGATGCGGATGTTAATGAATGACGCGATGCATTGCTGTTACTCAACAAATTTTGAGAGGTTTGGTACTGCTTCCAAAACGGTCGGTGGGGTTTTCCTCTGATAGGTGAGTATATGTATGCTAAGAATGGCATGTTGGTATGCTTCTACACTTCTCAAAACGTTTTTACAGCAATAAATGTGAAGTATCTCAGAATTATGTGCCAACCTAATATCATATTATTTTTTATTTTATGTATTTGAATATTCGATACTTTCTGCGCCATAAAAAGCTAGCTGATGAATTTGCGACATAACAAAATGCTGCATGAACCAAATGCACCGTCCTCTTTCGCGCAGAGCGGTCCGCAACGGATTAATGGGTTAAAGAGGAACTAAAAGGAAATAGTATACCATTGATTCGGCAAGGGGGAAGGAGACTATGAGTTCAGATAGAGATTTCAGATGCAACGTTTCCAGTGCGATGTGAACGGCATCTTGAACAGAAGCAGGCGACATTGAAGATGGCCATACCTGAAGCGAATGTTGTGACTATCGAAATGAGCTTTATTTGAAAAAAAAAACTTAAATTTCGCTGACCTTGAGGGCGTGTTTCACATCCCCACTTATTTTGGGAAAACTATCTTATGGGGCGAGTAAACTTTTTCATTCTCGCTGAACAGTGTTCCATGTTGTGCCAGATAGTTGATGGCGGCAGGGAGTTCATCAGAAAATTTCATTGAAGAGCTGAGTTTGCGTTGAGGTTTCGGCAACTGAAAACTGAACATATAATGTTCGTACCAATATGTACGCTTGAAAATTTTGAAGCTTGAAAATTATCATCTGCATTTACTCCGCATACAACCGCCCTATATTTGACTGTAAACACAACGGTGTCTCCGAATATGTTCCGAGTTTCATATAACGGTCTGTGAGGGTAAGGTTAATTGAATGCCAATACAGGGATAAGCCAATGAAAAACCCCTCACTCCACATTTAAAACAAAATTGATCACACTAGCCTAAATTCAAACCTAGTGCTACGAACTAAAATTAAAGCAGCATTTTGCATCAATCAAAAAAAGTCATGATGGCCTCCTACACGGACGACTCGGCTTATACTTGCGTTTCAACACAACGGTGCCTCCGAGTTTCATATAGCGGTTCCTAACAAGGAAAGGTCGTTCAGGGTGTGCCAAGCTTTTTCAAAATGGTTTCTTGCATGACATTGGGGCACATATGGGGACCACAGAAGCATGGTTCATTTTTCCTGAACGGCCCTCTGAATACCAGAAAAGGGGTCCCTAGTTCGATTCCTCGTGGTGACAAATTTTTGCATTTCGAGTTGACGTTTCAAAATTCGCGCAAAATGGAGTTAGCATGAATAATTAGTACCATATTCATGATTAGGACCGTCAGTAACCCTTACAAATAGACTTTGATTGAAAAACTGGTGAAAAGGTGTGACTAGGGACCCCCTTTTCTGGTATTCAGAGGGCCGTTCAGGAAAAATTAAATGGTTCTGTGGTTCCCGCATGTGCCCCTATATCATGCAAAAGACCGTTTTCAAAAAGCTTGGCACACCCTGAAAGACCTTCCTTGTAAAGAGTAAGGGGTGATTGAATGCCAATACAGGGGCAAGCCAATTAAAAACCTCTCTCTTCACACTTCAATGGCATTGACCACACTACGCTAAATTCAAGCCGAGTGCTATCAACTAGAAAGTAAAGAGCGTCTGAAAGTCTATCGGAAAAAACTTCACGATGGCCCTCTACACGGACGACATCAGAATAACGTGGAACATTGTGCATGGCTCAACCTCAAAGGGGCCCTCGCCAAATTATGGGCCATTTTGAATTTATCTTAAACGCTAAAGGGATGGCGCTTGCATAATCAGAGCCATCTAGAAAATTATCCGGACAGCTTGAATTGATTCAAGAACTCATGAAAAAACCACAGACTGGAGCAATTACTGTACCATCCTTAAAGCGAGGGATTACAATAAGATTGGGTTGAGTTCATAGTGGAAGTGGGAATACTGAATAATGCCCCAGTTGCGGAAAAGGTGAAGAAATCCGTGAGAAACGCGCAAAATTAGCCCCTTTCTCTGCCGGGTGACCTCCGATAATTGACGAGCTGCAACCAACTAAGGGTCGTTTGCATATTTCAGAACGATAGAAATCATCATGCCAACATAGATCACTTGATTGATGACGCATCCCATAGGCCAACTTTTAGGGACCATGCTTGAAGGGGAATATCTCATCCAAATAAGAACAATGATGCTGCCTCAGCACACTGATAGGTGGAGCATAGGCGACTGAGCTCATTGTCCGAAAGGACTTGCAGTCACAGGGGCTTTGGCTACAAGAGAGCCGCATCTCTCACCCATGAGACCCTAATTACTTCTTCCATTGGTGCATGTACTTCCCGATTGACTCTGCACAGGTGTTTCCCAGGCGCCAACATTTCCTCACGGCGGTTTAGAAAGCGACGAAAGATTGGCGGGTGTGTGCACGAGCAGAAAAATCTTTTTAACTTGCAGGACGATCACACCCACGTGAGAATATTTAGCTTGAAAGGTCTGAGTGGTTCCCCATCTTCATGCAGTGGTACAGTGATGCTGGAGGCTGTAACACTCGTTTGTTGGAGTCCCTACAAGAACACTGCTTGGAATTTCCTGCGTATTGCGGAAAAATAACCTACGGAAAGTTCAACAACGAGTCCACGTGAAACTCCTCCAGTTTTGCTCATGCCTAATTTTCCGAAGTTTTTACAGAAACTTACTCTGAGCATTTTGAGTTTTATTAAGAGATGAAGCGGATTCTGCAGGTTGCCGGTATGAATCGTCACGGAGCTGCCAGGAACTCTCAAAGGCATTTTAGCCGCCGTGCTGTTGCAAAAGTACAGAGTAGTAAACTTCGATAACTCCCTCAAACAGACGACAGTAAACAATGACGGCACAATATTCAATTTAGGAGCAACAGCAATAAAACAAGTTTGAATGAAGAAAACAAAAGTACAATCAAAGAGAATTGGAGCGCCGCCATGAATACCTAGTGATTTATCGTGGTAATCATCTACGGAGTACGATGCATGAACACTGCTAAAATGAATGCTATCAATATAAAATCAATTTTGTCAGATGCCGGAACCCTCCTTACCTTGCATATACCTTACGTCTTGCGCTGGTTCACTTCCCACAAAGGCTACACTTGGAGAACGGATGTAAGAAGATTCAGTGGACGTATGCATAAAAAGGATGCCTTGTACTGTACAGGGTTGCAATCATGAGGTCACATTAGACCGACCTACATCACAATACTGATTTGGGCCTTGAATTCCGAAGACGGTGTAGGCAGTGAAGGAGGGTGGGTTGGTTTATAGAGGAACATCTAAGGAATATTTGGTCGTGACCTTTGAGTGGCAAGAATACGTAGAGATGAAAACTGTTTCAAAGAGATATTCATTATTTCGCGGGTGAATGGAGAAGGAAAGATATTTGGGGGGAAACTTCGTGACAACAACGGGCGCCTCCTGAGAACCTCAACAGATTGACCGATATTGAGACTGCTCAGAAAACTGTGCTAAAAGCGCAATGAGGATTCCCTCCGCAATGATGAGAGGAAGCGATGGAAACACTAGATTTTGCAAAAGTAAGTGACCAAAACTGGAAGATATAAGGATTCTTTGTTGGCACCGTTCAGTCGGATAGTACAGGGACCAAACTAGCCGACGTTACTACTTAAAGACCGGTATGGCAACCCATACCTCTCTCCTTGGAGCGAACTGCCACTGACCAGACCGCCCATCCCTGACTTTCCACTAAATTAGCGCATTCCATGTCATATGGTCGCACAACCGGTCCGACAGGATGTTTGTCGATTCTTATTTGTCATTTATTTGTCATTTCTTACCCTAGCTTATTTATACATAAGTATGGACCTGTTTTTATCATAAAACTGATAAAAATACCAAGATAGACATTTCCGCGTACGCGAAGGCGGCACGCTACACCACGTATTCACATACAGGGGAGGGGGCAAAAAAAGACATTTTGCCCAGGTCGCACTTCGGCCTTTTTTCTTCGCAGAGATTGCCGTCGTTGACGGAAGTTCCTCAGCAAAATATTCCCTAAATGTCCCTCTATAAGTACACGCAGGCCCTCCTTCACTACCCTCACCGTCTTCAGAATATGACGTCATCTGTCACCGTCGTCGAGCTCAGGGAGGCCTACAGTAACTGCTTCAGCCTGAAGCTCTTACATAATTTCTTGGATCGATTCAACGTGGGATAGTTTCCTAGGGACATTAGCTCTAACTATGCAAACCCCCTCGGAACCGCCCTTCGGAACCCGTCGTAACGGTACACGATCAGTCGAGAACCCCATTGAGCTCGACCAGAGCACCATGTTTCCGGGGCAAATTTTCTGATGCCGTCCACGTAGATGGCCACTATGAAGATTTTCTTATGAAATGAAATGCGCTCTTCAATTCTAAGTTGGGAGCACACGCTTTGAGCTGAGCAAAGTGTGATTAAATCCATTTGAGTCTGGAGACAAAATGTCTTTTTTTGTTGCCCTATTATACAGGGGGGGGGGCAAAAAAAAAGAGTCACTTTGCCATGGCGCACATCATCAAATTTTTCTTCGCACAGGATGCCGCTGTTAATGAATGTTTTACGGCAGAATATTCCTTAGGTGTCCCCCATAAGCAGAAGCAGCCCTCCTTCACTGCCCCACCGTCTTCAGAATATGACGTCATCTGCCGTCACCGTCGAGCTCAACGAGGCTTACCGTAATCGCTCCGGCCTGAAGCTGCTACATAATTTCTTCAATCGATTAACTGGTGAATAGCTTCCCAGAGACACTAGCTGTGACTATGCAAGACCGCTTTTGACCAGCGTTTCAGGGACGTCGTAATGGTCTATGGTACCTCGACGACCTCGTTGAGCTCGTACCGTGAACCATGTTTCCGTGGGAAAATCTTCTGATGTCGTCGGTGTAGAAGGCTGTCATGTAACCTTTTGATAGATTAGAATGTGCTCTTTAATATGCAATTGGGCTCATTTGATTTGGTTTCGCAGTTCGAGATTACTGCGTTTTGAATGTGGAGAGCCCTTTGACCCCCTTGTATATGTAAGGTAGGGCGGGGTAATCCGTGAAAAATGCTACTCTTTTCGCTGCGAACATTCAGGCTCCAACAGATTCCTCGCTAACTTATGTGAAGCGGGCCATCAACTCCATCCTGACCCTTCCCTTTAAAGTAGGATTCCACATTAAGGACAACGGTCGAAAATGGTGGAGGTCACCTAGTGGAGGGACAGGCGGACCTAAAAGAGTGCAGATCGACATGCAGTTCGCTCCGAAGGACATCCCACAGCGGTCTGTCACCTTCCCCGCGACACAGTTGACGCGCCATTGGTGCGCTAGGCCCCACCTCCGCGTCGTCTCGAGTCTGAGTACGTAGGATCGTTAGCGTTGAAGAAGGAGAAAACGAGAGAGGGGCGCAAATGCGCGAACTAACATGCAAGGAAGGTGTCCCGTTTTTCGGGTTTTGGGTTTCGGGTTAGACCATTGTTTTTCTTTTTGTTTCACCGACCAGCTCTGACCTAATTCTCGATAAAGTGCCTTTATCGTAAAAACCGCCTTCAAGGCGTGAGCACATTAGCGTCGAGGGAGATTAACGGACAGAAACAACTGCCCCTCCGTCTAATTTCCCGCGTTCTCCGTACCGGCGTACCGGCACTTGGGCCCGTCACCTTCGCATTCTGCTGCTTGACCGGCTACTATCCTAGAGGAAAAAAATCAAATCTATCTAATGGGAGAATTTTTGCAGCTGGTCGGTCGGTCTGGTAGATGTTGGGCCATACGCTCCATCAAGCCCGGCTGATGCCCCTTCATGAGCGGTTCCAAGAATTGAACAAATTTAAGGAATAAGCTTCATTTATGTGAATTTCGCATATGTCAACATCGTATTCAATCAACACCTCCAATGGAGCACTAATCACATCACCGTATAATAAGTTAAATGAGACTGGAATCTTTTTTTCATTAATATAACTTATTGCAAGCTCTCAAAAGTTAGTAATATACATGGGCAATTATTAAAGATCTTTCATAAAAATGAGAATTGAGATTATTTTTTGGTGAACTGCACAAAATATCCTTTGGCTGCCATTACTGATCGACTTCGTATCCAAATCGTGTACCTGAAGATGGAGCTTGAAATTTAATGTGAAATGACCGTCAAATAGAATCTTCTTTACCTCGCTGCCCATCTGAACGTCAGGTTCCTACCAGTGTCAGTTATTTTGTCAATCGAGTCAAACACCTGAATGAAATTTCTCAAGCTACTGGTACCAATAATTTATAACGAAGTCAAGAAAAAATAGGTCATAACCAACATCAGTGTCGAGATCGCAACTCCTAGGATCATTATGCGTGAGCAGCTGGATGTCGTGGGCCTTCGCGTATTCCACTAACTCTGCCGGTACCTTAAAAAATGTCGTTCTGTCCGTCCGGACCAACC